CCCTGTTCCAGCTGGTGACTTGTGTACCCTGTGTTCCCTGTTCCAGCTGGTGACTTGTGTTCCCTGTTCCAGCTGGTGACTTGTGTTCCCTGTTCCAGCTGGTGACTTGTGTTCCCCTGTGTTCCCTGTTCCAGCTGGTGACTTGTGTTCCCTGTGTTCCCTGTTCCAGCTGGTGACTTGTGTTCCCTGTGTTCCCTGTTCCAGCTGGTGACTTGTGTTCCCTGTTCCAGCTGGTGACTTGTGTTACCCTGTGTTCCCTGTTCCAGCTGGTGACTTGTGTTCCCTGTGTTCCCTGTTCCAGCTGGTGACTTGTGTTACCCTGTGTTCCCTGTTCCAGCTGGTGACTTGTGTTCCCCTGTGTTCCCTGTTCCAGCTGGTGACTTGTGTTCCCTGTGTTCCCTGTTCCAGCTGGTGACTTGTGTTCCCTGTGTTCCCTGTTCCAGCTGGTGACCTGTGTTCCCTGTTCCAGCTGGTGACTTGTGTTCCCCTGTGTTCCCTGTTCCAGCTGGTGACTTGTGTTCCCTGTGTTCCCTGTTCCAGCTGGTGACTTGTGTTCCCCTGTGTTCCCTGTTCCAGCTGGTGACTGGTGTACCCTGTGTTCCCTGTTCCAGCTGGTGACTTGTGTTACCCTGTGTTCCCTGTTCCAGCTGGTGACTTGTGTACCCTGTGTTCCCTGTTCCAGCTGGTGACTTGTGTTCCCCTGTGTTCCCTGTTCCAGCTGGTGACTTGTGTTCCCTGTTCCAGGTGGTGACTTGTGTTCCCTGTTCCAGCTGGTGACTGGTGTTTCCTGTGTTCCCTGTTCCAGCTGGTGACTTGTGTTTCCTGTGTTCCCTGTTCCAGCTGGTGACTCCCTGTGTTCCCTGTTCCCTGGTGTGTTCCCTGTTCCAGCTGGTGACTTGTGTTCCCCCTGTGTTCCCTGTTCCAGCTGGTGACTTGTGTTCCCTGTGTTCCCTGTTCCAGCTGGTGTTCCTTGTGTGTTCAGCCCTGTTCAGCTGTGTGACTTGTGTTCCCCCTGTGTTCCCTGTTCCAGCTGGTGACTTGTGTTCCCCTGTGTTCCCTGTTCCAGCTGGTGACTTGTGTTCCCTGTTCGAGCTGGTGACTTGTGTTCCCCTGTTCCAGCTGGTGACTTGAATATTGTTTGTAGCTATACATGAACATACTTCGTCAATTTATTTTCAGCAACCCATTCTAGATTGCCTGGGCCAAACTCAGCTATTTACAGATCGCCGTCCTAAAACTGGACTATCGGTGAGAGCGACGTTATACAACAATCGATCTCAATTCAAACAAACATATCTAATACTTCCCGAATGTATTTTTTTCTGCTTGGTATCAACATACTTCGTATCTTATACTTCCTGAATCTTGTGTTTTGACTGAAAGACCACATATATCAACCATTGAAACAAACATCGATTTTGACAGTTAGTAAGAAATGCTGACCTGGCTATCAGCCGCATTGCTGTAAACGTGTTTCACCCAATCGTGTTTCACGCCGGGCGACCTACCCGCACAACAAGTATTTCCGGCATTCCACCCGGCTGCGGGTAGCTTGTCACGTGACTTCCTGGTTGACCGCGTGCGGTATGTGTACCCGCGGTGTACCGGCCACCCGCCTGGCTCAGTTATCTCTCGCACGTTGTACAAGTATGGCTGAAAGACGACGATGTCTCCGTTGAAAGATTACAAGAGTAAGCTCCCTTCCTTCATTGCGCTTACATCGAGTGTACAGAAATGTGTCTACTGTTAGATTTACGGGAGAGTATATCGTATGTAGATTGAGACACCATGACTATGCCTTGACTAGCAGCATATGGCTGTCAGTGCGTGTGTGTGTGTGTGGGGGAGGGAGCTTCATGCTGGTAAAGACTCCATGTGTACTTATTATATTGCCGGGATAAGGACACCTAACGGGGTTGCTCATGTCCCCCTTGTATTGTCAGGGGAAGGGCACCTGACGGGGTGGGGGGTAGGTCAGGGGGTGAGACACCTGATTGTGAGGGAAACCATAGCCTACAGTTGCTGACGTCAGTGTGGGGTAGTGTGGGGATTTTAGATGTTTAACAGTACAGGAGTTCATCTCTTGTTAGGTGTTAACTGGTTGATAAGTTATGTTTCAGCATCCAGTGATGTTGATGTACAATTAAAACAGTTTCCGTCAGGCTGAACAGTCAGATAAGAGAAATAAATTTATTGATATAAGGTTTATTGCAAAAATATGTAGGGGATGTACTCTTTCGCATATCACCAAGAGCTGTCCATGATTCATCGTACTCAGACCCCTCGTATGGAGGAGTGTTTAAACAACCACGACATACAAGGGAACACACGATCACCGGTCTCTGGCTGAACTATGGGGCTCATCTGTGATTAGACAAATCATTTACATTCGATTGTCCAACCACTTGTGGTGCTCGTAAAGTATAAGCTGACTTGATCACTAATATGGCGAACTGGGCCGCCTTCAGGGCTCAGGCTCTGTACACAGCTGCTTCTCCTCGCATCCCTCATGCTAGGCTTCTGTTGACGTCGTAGTTGATGGCGTAGTAGGAAGGACATAGTCGCCCTCTGTGGTCACAAGCTGGACACGTGTCTGGCCCGTCCAGATGCTTCCTGGTGATGTGGACGTCCAGATGCTTCCTGGTGATGTGGACGTCCAGATGCTTCCTGGTGATGTGGACGTCCAGATGCTTCCTGGTGATGTGGACGTCCAGTACTGACCGGGTCTGCTACTGGTTTGCTGTAGCAGCGGGGAAGCCAGATAGAAACTCCCATGGAGATAAACACGTCCACTCTCTGTTTCCGGTATTTCTGATGTTTTTATGAAAGTCGGTTTCCTTTTGTTCAGGAACTACTACAGGCACTCTGATAATCAGCTGAAATGAAAAAAGAATCGTTCTTATCATTTATTGTTCATTGTTGAATATTATTTCTTTACTGACGAGACAAGAGCGCGGTATATCGAGGGAGTGTTTCTCTTGGAAGTCGACTTTACGCTGAATGGAAAAGACAAGTGCGCTTTTGTTTCCCTTATTACGAAGCTTCACCTACCAAATAAACACATGCCTCCTCGCAAATATACCTATCGTTATATAGCACTGTTAACGTCACAACATACTTGAATGTTTGCGTAAATATAGAATAGCTTACTGTCTGCTTTTCGTCACGAAATATTCGATTCCCCACATGGGTACAATGTGCAAAGCCCATTTCTGGTGTCCCCCGCTGTGATATTGCTGGAATATTGCTAAACGCGGCGTAAAACAATGCTCACTGATTCACTCGTCACTCGTCCAATGTGTGACAATGTGACACTGATTGTCAGAGGAGCTGATTTGTAAAGTCACAGACAGAAGGACACAACTGAAATGTCATCAGTGAATAGTATTTAGTTCTTGCTCCTCCAGATTCAAGTTTTTCCGGTACGTGAGTGAGTGAGTGAGTGAGTGAGAATTGTTTCACAATTTAGATATGCAAAACGAGTGGGTGGTATTATAGCAGTGTCTTAAGCTATCAGCGCACACATTCAGCTAGGGTTCGGAGCTTGACCATCCGACTCCCCACATGCAGGAAATTTATATTCTTGATAGAAACATAACTTATTTGATTCACAAACTTTAGAAAACCAAACTTGCTGGTGGCAATCTTTAACCATCAGATAACACGAACTTACTAAGAAATAAAGAACAATTACCGACTTCCTGAGAGATCCAAACAAATCTTTAACCATCAGATAAAAGTAACATTTTAACCTTTGAAGCCCATGTAATACGATAGCAGTCATCTAACGATTTACAAAGAGGATAGCTTTGCTTAGGATATCTTTGATTACGCTTTGACAGCAACTTTAACCAGTGAATACAGCTTTTATGACAATCAACAAATAAGCCATATATTCCACATTCACCAAGCTCAGCAACATTATAACTACCTGCACCAATAACATATTTACAAAACTTAATATGAAGACGCTCGATGCATTCACTTTTTGAATGACCCCACACTTCGATAGAATAGAGAAAGATTGGCTTAATCTGAGCATCAAATATCTTGAATAAAACTAGAGAGGAAATATTCTTAAACTGGCATTGTAATTGTTTAACGGAAACTAAAGCTTTTGGTGCTTTTTGAACAAGAACGTCAATACCCTTTGACCAGCATAACCTGTTATGGAATTATAATAGATAAGCCAAGATAATTATAATAGGTTGATGTCTTTATAATTTATTTGCCAAACATCCATTTTTCAGAAAACCTTAATTTGCCACCATTTCTAAAAACTAATATTTCAGTCTTATCTAAATTGACATCTAAACCCCAGTTGATACTAAACTGCTCCAATATACATCTATCTTTCTCTTTGGACCAATTACAGTATCATCAAACAAACACAAATCATCAGCATGAAATAAAGATAAAATATCAAGAAACTCTTGACTAGCAAATGTACCTCGAACATTCGATTCCTGTAACAGTTTCCACCTCAACAACAAAAAAAGAGAACAGCAAAGCACTTAGAATATACCCCGGTTTAACGCCATTTAATGAATCAAAATAATGAGATATGGAGCTACTTGATAGTTTAACAGCAGATTTAACCATATACTACATGTCCAATAATACTGTAAATATTTTACCATGGATACCTTTATTTAAAACTGAGAACCACAATAATTTACGATTAATAGATTCAAATGCCTTTGTGAAATCAACAAATAAATAATGAAAACGAACATTAGTTTTGGAGAGATACTTTTGGACCAGACACGGTAAACTGAATATATTATTAATAGTGCCATATCCAGCACGGAACCCAGCCTGAGACTCAGGAATCTTGTCATACTGATGACAAAAACTTGTCAACCCTCTTGTGCAGAATTTATCTTGTTGATATAAAAACAAAAGTCACGTATATTAGGATAATGATAAAACGCCCAAACTCATTTGACGGATAGTCAGTATATTTTTATCACACTCAGTATAAATACATATAAACAGGCGAACGCATTTCCCTGTTCGCAATAAATAAATCACAGGAGTATGAATAAAATGAGTTTTTGGACAATGGGAAATCTAAACGGGCGATACAGTCAAGAGCCTATGGCCGAGATCTCGTTCTGACGTTTTCTGTAAAGCGACTTGGCGCATGCGCACACTGACATCCGATCTTGAGAGGCTCCCATATGGCGGCATACCGATACACGCCCTCCACACACCCGGTCCTGCGGAACACCTTGGTGTAATATATTATAGGCAGGCAGTCCATCAGGCTGGAGGGGCCATTGTCCGGTCTTAGACATTCCACACAGTTACACTCTGTCTCCACCACGGTGTTGGGGATTCTGTTCTCGTCGTAGTTGAGCACGTAGTGGAAGGGGCAGACCTTCCCCCCATGGAGCCGCACGGCCTCCTCCCACGTCGGGCACTGGGGCTCGCCTGCCAGCAACATGTACCTCAAGTTGACGAACTCTTCCTGGACTGACGACAGGTTGGCAACAGTGTCGAGGAGAGGGGGGATTTGATAGAAACTGTCATGGAGTAGATCTTGAGTGTCCAGCTTACGGTTCACAGGCTCTCGACAGCGTCGGGTTCTTCTTCCGGTTGCCCAAGCTGAAGATTGCGGCATCGCTATTAGGAAACACACAGTGAGGAGTATCTACAAAACAGAAGGTCACGTGGTAGCAACATATACTCAAAGGCAAAGGTTCCTGTGATCAACACATGTGTTGATATAAATGAGAAATATTAGCATTGTAATATTCCTTATAATACACTTTAAAATCATAACCCCAAAAGGGCCCTGTAGGTAATTTCAGTTTTGCATGCGTTTTTCACGCTTTCAAGAAGTAAGTGGAAAAAAGGCATAAAACATGCCCTTTAAATTGGTGGAGTGGGGCTTGTTGTAAAACTGAACGAGGACCTGACACCCGATACTGCAGTGTGGTGTGAAGAAGTCTCCTTCCCTTTCAGACTTCGACTATCAGGAACATAGGTCATAGATAGGTCACATGCCTTTGTTTACATTTAGGAAGATGTTAGCTCTCAAACAACAGTACTGGTTGAAACAATGCCAGTGTAGATACGATTCGTGTAAAGATCTTCACCAAAACCAAAACTTTGAAGTAGGAAAACACTGTGATGCCTTGAGACCCCGTGTGTTCTGTGTCAGGACCATTCATTGACGTGTGGTAACGGCCTGGTATCAGATGGACCGTTACACATATGAACATCAGTTATACCCTGGGACCCCACCCCCACCCCCACCCCAATATAGGCTGAAATACCCTCATGTGTGGATGAACAGCCTCACGCCCGTGTTCTGTCGTGAAATAATTCACATACAATGTTGCTTAACGGAAAAGGAGAACATACAAATCGAAGGACATGGAACTGCACGAAGTGTTTAATGAGCCTGGGCTCGTTTGTTTCAACTGATATGTCTCGATATTGTTAAACGACCTGTGAGGACAGACCCGATCTAGTGCCAGTCATTAGGAGCGACACAGTAGGGCTGTCAAAAAGGGATATCGTAAGACAGCATGTAAACAAACTCACTTATATCAGAAATCAGAAAATATTAATAAATTTAATTAAATGAAAACAATATGTATATTTTATACCAACTAGATAGCAATATATATTATTGAACATATAAACGACCGTCGTATATAAACGCAGTGTAATGGTTTTTAGAGAACCTGGATCAATATCTCATGTACTGTATCACTTCGTTATTTCATACAGAAGACCACAGAGTCGTTTATCTCACCATCACTGTTGACTGGAGTAGAGTCATGGTTGCTGGGGGGACGGCTTCGTATGAGAAATACGCTTTCTTGGATTCTGAGATAAACATTCAGATTTTATACCAAGTGCTCGTGTGGCGGGTGAGAAGAGGGGATTTTACAAATGACGGTATTGTCCCTCCTGTAATAAATCTCTGCCATGAGCCATTCACCCGAGTCACGTGACCCTGTCATCCCTTCAGGAACTTGACAGTGATCCCAGTCATCCGGATCTCTGTTGTGGACGTTCCCCCCCTCGCATCATCACCCAGTCGGTGTGTGGAGCTGTTGTTACAGGGTGGACAGAGAAATAACAACGCATTGTGGGGAGTTCAGTGTCAATCAGGGAATTACTTTTGTTTACCAAGTTTTAAAAAATCATTTATGAGCTGTATGTAAGCCAACCACGAAGTGGCAGATGCTCTCAGTTATCTGGTGTTGAAACGACGACCCATGATACATTCGGCGACGTCGTGAAGAGTGAATTATGTCGTGACGTCATTGCAACAATGCATTGGAAGATGATGTCACGTGGCTACGAGTCTTTCCGAATTACTGTAATCATCATCATAACAATATTCCTGCAGCAAGTCCACGTGCGGCAAGCTGGATATAGTTGACACCAAGTACTCACTGGTGACCTAACAAGACACGCATGTGATCTTATGCCATGGAACCTGTCTATATTTAGGGAATATCGCCGGACCTATATTCCCCGAGTGAATGTCTGGTGATGTGTCTGATGTACATCACGGGGTCAAACCATTGCTCCCTGTAGTGTTTCCACTGTTATATGAATAATATCGAGGATATGAAAAAAAGTTAGGAAATAAATAAAATAACAGTCGTCCAAAAATCAAGTCAACGAACTTCTTACGTCATATATATTGTGACGTCGTGAGTTATGAATGGCGTAAGCTGGTTCACAGCTTCCTGTACGCTTCTCCATAATACGATATGAAAGACGGAGCCTAGCTTATGAATGATGTAGCGGTATGACGTCATATCGCGAACAAACCATTGAGCTATAATCACCTCCAAGTACAGTATTGGGACAGGGTTTAAGCTCCTTCTTGCAGCCCCGGCGAATTAGGGATGGGCTAGGGGAGGGGGGCCGGGGTTGTTGTTGTTAAGGGAGATGTGTTGGGGTATGCGTACGTATCAAATGTCAGAAGCGTCATAGGCCAGTTCCGTTTTCCAAACATTCTTTCTGATTTCATTATGTTTTCCCGCCTCGTAAACTGACACCGTGATGAGACTACAAGGAAGACAAGCATACCGGAAGTGACATTGTTATATTCAATCCGAACATTGAGCACTGAACATTCGCCGGATGCTACAAACTGTAACTGTCTGTGAACATATGGTCTCTGGTCAACTGCAATCTTTAGCCAAGTGTTACTGGTATTATATTGTAGCACTATGTATTGTCAGCTGACAGTGTACTGGTGGACGCGGATATGTATCCTTTGTCGTTTGAACTTGTAAGTTACAAATACTCAAGTCATAACATCCAGTAAAAGCGTCCAGCATCAACTTTAGCAGTGTATCAGCTAAAGATCTTACCAAGCCCTAAGATGTAGTGTGTATTTTCCAGCATCAACTTTATATTTTCCAGCATCAGCTTTAATAGAGTATCAGCTGAAGATCTTATCAAGCCCTAAGATGTAGTGTGTATTTTCCAGCATCAGCTTTAATAGAGTATCAGCTGAAGATCTTACCAAGTACTAAGATGTAGTGTGTATTTTCCAGCATCAGCTTTAATAGAGTATCAGCTGAAGATCTTACCAAGTACTAAGATGTAGTGGGTGTAACTTGCGGATCGTGTTCTGCACAATCTGGAGGCTGTGATCGCTCCGTGCGGGGAAAGCTAGTGAGGGTGAAGATACTGTGCAGGGGAGCAGTGGGGGAGGAAGAATCAAGTGACACGGGACAATGATCACGTCGGTAGTTCTTTTCATACCCTTCGTGTAGGATGTAACTTACTTGAAGAAAGGGCATTGCTATTTCTGATGACTCCCTCTGTGATGTGGCTACGGTAGAGCGAGCGTAAGGCGGGGAGGCGAGAGCTGGTATAAAGCAAGACCAGAACGACCTCTAAGATCGAGGAACACGCTCTCACTGTACGCCGTCACGACCGAGTCTGCTCGACAGATATACGACAACCGTGTACAAACATCAATCTAATAGAAACACATGCCGATCTAAATAAAAGCAGCACCACACTTTATACAAAGGGGATTTTACTATTCCGGCTTATGTCGTAAACACATGTTTGTGAATCCTTATCAAAGGGAGATAACAAAAGGCGTCACAGTTGTCACAAACACACGTAACAGTAAGTCAGTTGTTCTCTTACGACATGCCAGAAACTGTCAGCAAATGTCGTGAGTAAAAGTTGAGGTACTTTAAACAGTTGGATAAAGGTAATTCGTAAGCATTGACTTAAAGGGTCAGTTCCCAGTTTTACTTTATTATGACTGACTGAGTATGGTTTTACGCCGTTTTTAGCAATATTCCAGCAATATCACGGCGGGGGACACCAGAAATGGGTTTCACAAATTGTACCCATGTGGGGAATCGAACCCGTGCCTTCGGCGTGACGAGCGAACGCTTTAACCACTAGGCTACCCCACCGCCCCACCTTATTATGAACTTAACCTATATTTCAGCAAGTGGCAGGAGTATTTGCAGTAATAACTCACACACTTTTGGGTTCGCTACTAGATCAGGGCGGTGGGGTAGTTAAGTGGTTAAAGCGATCAAGGCCTGGGTTCGATTCTCCACATGGGTACAATGCGTGGAGCCCATTTCTGGTGTCCCATGCCGTGACATTTCTAGAATATTAAGCCTACGTAAAACTAAACTTACTCCAGAAGACCCCGCACCTACATCTAGTGGCATTGAGCATCGACCACGCTCCGTGGTACGCGGGTGTCCAGGACACCTGGTGTCACTGTTGTCAGATTGTTGTCATTTATCGGAGTAGGAGTTGCATGTCCACGTGGAGGGAAGTTCACACGCACAGACACTTCTCAGACCGAAATCATTCCTTTGAAAGGGTTGTTTTTAACTCCAGGCTTGCTTCGTAAGATAAGACTCGAACTCAGTTTGGGACATTCCGGCCAAGAAATCCACAAGGAACTAAAGTCAGACTTCTGATGATCAGGGCTTCGACACACTGAACATCACAGGAAGGGTCTCGGGAACACAAATGAGCCTGACAACCGGGTGCATGCAACATAGGACCAGTTCCGTCCTGCAACTTCCTTGAAGCAACACCTGGCTCTCTTCAATCCCACCATTGTTGCCTTGTACTTTCAGTCTTCCAGGGCCGGAGTTCACGACGCTGATGTTCCTGGATGAACATATTTATAGCGACGCGATGAGGAGCATGTCCTGCAACCCTGGCCCCCGTATGAATATTGTTAGGCCATTCCCTGTCGACGGTGGAGCTGCCATTGTCCTCCACACAATGGCCAGTAAATAACTTCCATGTAAATTCTGATAATTCCTATGTTCCGTGTCATACGTGCGCATTTCTAGTAACCCAATATACAACGTTCAAGCTGCAAACTGCTACCTGTTTGACGTCCTTTGCTTCTCTCACTTTCTCACTTTCAGACAAGTTGACACCCATGCTTTGGACCATTACCAGGCGCATAGCAAGCCAATCCTTTCGTATAAGCCCAATAGGTGGCAAAGCTTTATGTTTAGATAGTATTGAAGGCTTGTCCAACCTTTTTAGCAACAATGATGTGTAAGCCCGGGCTTGTTTTAATAATGGTAGCTACGCCGCTCCATACATAAAGTTCGTCTTTACTCAGTTTCTGAAAAATGGACGAGTGACCAGCGATGTCATGAGTTTTGTAGAAGACACACACGAGGAGACGTTCACCTTAAGACAGCTTGGAATAGCTATAAAGTACCGGTAACTTTCTTGGTAGCATGTCCAGTTTCATGTTCCATGATATTTGACGGCGTCGTGATGTTAGGACATTTCCGTACATCCATTCAGCTAAACATCACACAAGCATCTCATATCGAAATATATATCTCCGAAATAGTTTCATACTTGGTGGTTGATATGGCACATTATTTATTTCAAAGACGTTAGAATGATAATGTATGATCTATAAATATAACAATGAAAATATATGGTGCATAAATATATCAATGAAAATGTATGATATATAATTATATCAATGAAAATGTATGATATATAAATATATATCAATGAAAATATGATATAGTAATATATCAATGAAAATGTATGATATATAAATATATATCAATGAAAATGTATGATATATAATATATCAATGAAAATGTATGATATATAAATATATATCAATGAAATATGTATGATATATAAATATATATCATATGAATGAAAATGTATGATATATAAATATATCAATGAAAATGTATGATATATAAATATATATCAATGTGAAATATGTATGATATATAAATATATATCAATGAAAATGTATGATATATAAATATATCAATGAAAATGTATGATATATAAATATATATCAATGAAAATGTATGATATATAAATATATATCAATGAAAATGTATGATATATAAATATATCAATGAAAATGTATGATATATAAATATATATCAATGAAAATGTATGATATATAAATATATATCAATGAAAATGTATGATATATAAATATATATCAATGAAAATATGATATAGTAATATATCAATGAAAATGTATGATATATAATTATATCAATGGAAATGTATGATGTATCAATATTTATTATATAGGTAGTATTTTTCCTGTACCACGATTGGTCAATAGACCGTCACATGATTGACTACAAAACACGATATTGACTTGAGTTTTCTGATAAATTACGATATTGACTTGGGTTACTAAAAATAGACAAGGAATCCCGTACGAAGGGGCTTCCCCCGCTTTTCAGCCAATCAGATCACTCGGATAGATGGCACAGTGTGTGCATTAAAAGTTTATGTTAAAACCCGTTTCTCTTTCATTATATAATAAAACAATTATAGACTCTGTAGAGGTCGATATCGGTTTTTATTGACCTGAGAAAAACAATATCGACCTCGCAAGCTCGGTCGATATTGTTTTACTCAGGTCAATAAAAACCGATATCGACCTCTACAAGAGTCTATAATTGTATAATATCAATCAAAATATATGATACAGTAATATATCAATGAAAATGTATGACATATAATTATATCAATGATGACATATGACATATAAATACAATCTAAGAACCAGTGTGGCCAGATTTAATGAATACAATATAAATTAACATATCCAATGTAGAAGCTTGAAAATGAGTCAACTTTGGAATATCGACATTGAGTCCTATGGATTCACGTCGAATACGCCAATACCCTGAGATTCACAACAGTTGAGAAAATAATGCCCAAAACAATGAGTGCCCACGAAAGTGTACTGTAAATGTTGAAACAAAAGATATCCGAGTACCCTTTGAATGTTTATCAGAGTATTACCTATTTCGCAGAACATTTCAAGAGCATGACGGTACAGAGAGGATTTACACTGTCTAAGGTAGAGATCTTTCTGGATGACTGTCTGTAAAGCGACTTGGCGCATGCGCACACTGACATCCGATCTTGAGCGGCTCCCATATGGCGGCATACCGATACACGCCCTCCACACACCCGGTCCTGCGGAACACTTTGGTGTAATATATTATAGGCAGGCAGTCCATAAGGTTTGAGGGGCCATTGTCCGGTCTGAGACATTCCACACAGTTACACTCTGTCTCCACCACGGTGTTGGGGATTCTGTTCTCGTCGTAGTTGAGCACGTAGTGGAAGGGGCAGACCTTCCCCTCATGGAGCCGCACGGCCTCCTCCCACGTCGGGCACTGGGGCTCGCCTGCAAAGATGGTGTGTCTTACTCTGACGAACTGGTCTGGGATGGTGGAAAAATTGGCAACGGTGTCGAGGAGAGGGGGACCTTGGTAAAAACTGTCACGTAGTCGGTCATCAATGTCCATTTTACGGTTCATAGGCTCCCGGCAGCGTCTGGATCTTCTTTGGGCCGAGCACAGTGGTGTCGCTACGAGGATGACCAATAGGAAACATGTCTGAAAATGAACAATCAAAATCAGTAACAAACTTAAGTAATGTTTGGGTGATGGAACTAAAATGCGAATGGATAGTTGGAAGGTTCGTTTGAATCTATTCTGACTATCGTTAGCCTTGATTATGTTACTACGTCATAATATATTGACTGTGTTACTGTATGTTTACTGTCATTTAAGTATTTGTAGATGTCGCGTCTTCTTGGAAAAGCAAAACCTAATACTTGTTTGTCGTATTTCAGTATTACCCTCATATATTTCAGTTAATACTTTTACAGATTGTTGGCACGCTAGAACCATGTTATTGTCTCAGGTTGTTGGTGCGCTAGAACCATGTTATTGTCTCATTGGATCAATGTCGAATGATTCCGTTTTAGCTGTTTATAACAGGAACTTGTGGTTGTGTTAATGTGCCCCTGTTCAGCCTGCTCATGTCTCTAGGCCTGTCATACCGGTGCTTGTTAGTTTCACTTGTATCGTAAACGTCTGACTTCGTATGACTTCGGGCCTCCCTTCCCCCACACAGGCCGTGACATGAACCACCTACCTAACTCATAGAAGAAAGAGGATGAAAGTGTTTCTCACCGTGGACCTGGATGACAGCAGCTTCATCGTCTCCGTCGTCGCTGTAGATTCCTTTCCGCTTTGCAAACTCGCGGTGAACTTTGTCCAACTTTCTCAGAACCTACCCTATATATACACCACTACATCCGCCAGAGCTACCCGAAATAGTGTATGACCAGAGGGTTTTCACGTTACTTATGGATGCAGTAATTAACGTGATCCACCAGTAGATGGAGCTGGAGAATTGTCTGCCGGGAGTGGCCCCCCCTTGCCCCTTCCGCCTCGTCTCATCTTCCTTCACTGATGCACTTCACCGAACTTTACAGTCAGTCATCCGCAACAACCATCCCAGTCTCCCGGCCTGGTCCAAGGGGAATTACTGAAGATTTATATTGCTATTCATCACATAATTATGGAACTTCGTTTACTGGTAGAGAAGCTTTAACGTACCCCTTCCTACTCCGTATTAACCAGTCAATAGCTCTAAACTGCGGAAATGGTAATTTCGCCTCACGAAATTATGTAACATATGTTATTTCAGTTTGGATTTCTATTCTTTTATTCTTACTGGCTGAGAGTCGAAACCGTTTCCACTATTCACTGGATGGTATAGCTCACTGACAAAAAACAACTGATGACGAATAATTGGATTTCTGTTGCTGTGAAATACATAAATATAGATTAGTACTGTGTGTGATTCTACTCAAACTGTGGCGGTGAACCAAGAAACTGTCTTACGTTTATATCTTAGTGACACAACCGTCCTTACGTTACGCGTATTGTAATCCATATATCTTAGTGACTCACCTTTTCTTACGTTACGCGTATTGTAATCCATATATCTTAGTGACACAACCGTCCTTACGTTACGCGTATTGTAATCCATATATCTTAGTGACACAAACACAACCGTTCTTACGTTTGCGCATATTGTAATCCATATATCTTAGTGACACACCTGTTCTTACGTTACGTGTATTGTAATCCATATATCTTAGAGACACAAACACAACCGTCCTTACGTTACGCGTATTGTAATCCATATATCTTAGTGACACAAACACAACCGTTCTTACGTTTGCGCATTTTGTAATCCATATATCTTAGTGACACACCTGTTCCTACATTACGCGTATTGTAATCCATATATCTTAGAGACACAAACACAACCGTTCTTACGTTTGCGCATATTGTAATTCATATATCTTAGTTACACACCTGATCGTACGTTACGCGTATTGTAATCCATATATCTTAGTGACACAACCGTCCTTACGTTACGCGTATTGTAATCCATATATCTTAGTGACACACCTGTTCTTACGTTATTTAGGGACACACACGTTACGCGTATTGTAATCCATATATCTTAGTGACACAACCGTCTTTACGTTACGCGTATTGCAATCCATATATCTTAGTGACACACTTGTTCTTACGTTACGCGTATTGTAATCCATATCTCTTAGTGACACACCTGTTCTTACTTTTGCGCGTTTTGTTCCAGTGAACATATCGCGTCAGTATGGACTGTTAATTCCACAATTCAAAATTCAAAATGTAAAGTGTTGTTAACGGATTAAGTTACTATTAGTATGTTTTGATAACATATTGATGACGGGCAGTATGGACCTGTCACGATGCAGCCCTCTACTATATTAGTGTCTGTACCAAGGATGCAGCCCTCTACTATATTAGTGTCTGTACCAGGATGCAGCCCTCTACTATATTATATAAGTGTCTGTAGCAGGATGCAGCCCTCTACTATATTAGTGTCTGTACCAAGGATGCAGCCCTCTACTATATTAGTGTCTGTACCAGGATGCAGCCCTCTACTATATTTGTGTCTATACCAGGATGCAGCCCTCTCCTATATTAGTGTCTGTACGAAGGATGCAGCCCTCTACTATATTAGTGTCTGTACCAAGGATGCAGCCCTCTACTATATTTGTGTCTATACCAGGATGCAGCCTTCTACTATATTAGTGTCTGTACCAGGATGCAGCCCTCTACTATATTAGTGTCTGTACGAAGGATGCAGCCCTCTACTATATTAGTGTCTGTACCAGGATGCAGCCCTCTACTATATTAGTGTCTATACCAGGATGCAGCCCTCTACTATATTAGTGTCTGTACCAGGATGCAGCCCTCTACTATATTAGTGTCTGTACCAGGATGCAGCCCTCTACTATATTAGTGTCTATACCAGGATGCAGCCCTCTACTGTATTAGTGTCTGTACCAAGGATGCAGCCCTCTACTATATTAGTGTCTGTACCAGGATGCAGCCCTCTACTATATTAGTGTCTGTACCAAGGATGCAGCCCTCTACTGTATTAGTGTCTGTACGAAGGATGCAGCCCTCTACTATATTAGTGTCTGTACCAGGATGCAGCCCTCTACTATATTAGTGTCTGTACCAAGGATGCAGCCTTCTACTATATTAGTGTCTGTACCAAGGATGCAGCCCTCTACTGTTTTAGTGTCTGTACGAAGGATGCAGCATATGTTTGTGGGTATGAGTATTTTACACTAACACAGCCTCCGTATACACAGGTACATGGTGGGAACATAAACAAGGTGCAACAGAAATGTACATATCAGAGGAAATAATAACCTGATGTTTTATACAGGAATATTGTCCTTATCGTGAAATGTTACAACTATCACGTATGGACATTTAATATTTTATTTGTCAAAATTTCGGACACGGGATCGGGTGGTCAGGCTCGTTTACTTGGCTAATGTATGCCATTATATCCCATCGCACTATACATGTAGATCGGTGTCATTGACTGGATTGTCTGGTCCAGATTTGATTAGTTATAGAAAAACGTCATACAATAAGAAATACATCTGATGAAAATGTTGAGGTTTAAACCCAGCCTTCCAATCTGGCAGCAAAACTACTGTGTCTATTACAACAATAGTATTTACTGTTTGTAACAGATTACAACATTTTGTATTACAGATCAAATATTTATTCACATGGTGTTTCTACCTTACCACTGTATTTTATGCTGTATGTACACGACATCTGTTATACTCTGCAGTGAAATGTAAATGCTGAACTTAACGTTTCCATGGTATTTCTTTCAACTGTTTATGGAACATGTGATCCTGTATCTGTCACATGGAAATGGAAAATAAAAAACTTAAATGAAGAAAAAGAAAAACAGAAAAAATCTGATGATTGTGATGTTCAACAAACAAAACAACGACGTATTGGGCGCAGACAGAACGCCACCCATATCTGTCTCATCCTGCCACGGTGCAGCAAATATAATACTGTCTCGGCATCATTGTGTTTGATTGTTCTGCAGTAGGTTTATACAATGAATCAAAAGTAAACGGTGCTTTTTACTCAAATCCAATTTCAAATTTCAAAATTAAAATAGAATGTTATTAAAAGGTGGAGTTTTATTCCTGGTTGCTCATTTCGTCACGGATGACGAGTACACCTTTCATTGTTGATTCGCTAACAACATCAATTACAAATTTAATAGGTTCAGAAATAACAAAGGTAATTGTTCAGGGTCCTCCCTTGAAGCATGGGGTCGAGATGATGGATACTTTCATTGCAATGGTCTTGTCTCGACCAGTAAAATACGTCCTCGCCATCTGCATTGTCAACTAGATGACGTACTTCGTTTGTCTGATGGAGTCGACACGTGGACTCATTCATTGTTGTATGTTGAAGTTATTTGACTTCATGAAAGGGCACTTCCTAGTCCGCGCCATTACCAGGTAAATAATGATGGGTGACTTGGAATAGACGGCAAACCGACCGAGTGCCCGATCCTGCAGTTGTGACTTTTAATGGCCGTCAGCACGTCAGTTACGAAACAAAGGGACTGCTTACAAAGTAGATACACGCATCGGCGTTTTGTATAATATACACAAAGAACTTAATTAAGCACCCCCCGATAGTTTTCAACACGTACATAAAACATCCCGTGGTAACCACGATGGACAAGCATTGTTTTTCTGACCCGTATGATCCTGTGACTCATAAAACAACTGTCCGTATAGCATACATTGTGGTGATACATGTTGACCTCTACAGTCTGCTAATACATGTTTACCACTACATTCTGTTGATACATGTTTACCACTACAGTCTGTTGATACATGTTTACCACTACAGTCTGTTGATACATGTTTACCACTATAGTCTGCTAATACATGTTTTCCACTACAGTCTGCTGTTACATGTTTACTACTACAGTCTGCTAATACATGTTTACTACTACAGTTTGTTGATACATGTTTACCACTACAGTCTGTTGATACATGTTTACCACAACAGTCTGTTGATACATGTTTACCACTACAGTCTGTTGATACATGTTTACCACTACAGTCTGTTGATACATGTTTACCACTAGAGTCTGTTGATACATGTTTACCACAACAGTCTGTTGATACATGTTTACCATTAAAATCTGTTGATACATGTTTACCATTACAGTCTGTTGATACATGTTTACCACTAGAGTCTGTTGATACATCTTTAACACAACAGTCTGTTGATACATGTTTACCACTACAATCTGTTGATACATGTTTACCACAACAGTCTGTTGATACATGTTTACCACTCGAGTCTGTTGATACATGTTTACCACTACAGTCTGTTGATACATGTTTACCACTACAGTCTGTTGATACATGTTTACCACAACAGTCTGTTGATACATGTTTACCACAATAGTCTGTTAATGTTTACCATTAAAATCTGTTGATACATGTTTACCACTACAGTCTGTTGATACATGTTTACCACAACAGTCTGTTGATACATGTTTACCACAATAGTCTGTTAATGTTTACCATTAAAATCTGTTGATACATGTTTACCATTAAAATCTGTTTATACATGTTTACCACAACAGTCTGTTGATACATGTTTACCACAACAGTCTGTTGATACATGTTTACCACTACAGTCTGTTGATGTTTACAGTCTGTTTACATGTTTACCACAACAGTCTGTTAATGTTTACCATTAAAATCTGTTGATACATGTTTACCACTACAGTCTGTTGATACATGTTTACCACAAGAGTCTGTTGATACATGTTTACCA